AGTTAGGGACACACAACTTATCCACATAAAACAAGAATCCATTGTGCAAGAAATCCTTTCTATGTAGACTCTTCATACAAGATGCGTAGACTTCCCCAAAGTCATGGTCATGGGCATATATCTCCTTAAGCATCTCAAACCCTAACAACTTGGCACCATGATACGGTCCTCGATCAACGCATTTCGAGACACGTAGCACGTTTGCCCAAGGATCTAGCGAGGTTGTCCAACTTTTTTGGGATAATTTTGCAAATTTGGACAAGATTTTGAAAAAAATTTAGCAGAGTTTTCCCTTATAACTGGTCAAAACTCTCAGCCAACAAACCCAAGATTGAACAAGTTTTAAGCACAATAATATTTCTAGGCACAAGTCCAATATTTAGTACTCCTACGGAGAAGTGGTGTAACGTGAGGGGAAGCATATGTTACATTTGTTTATTAGAAAGTCCGTTATCTCTATTCCTACAGTGTAGGCGATTGTCAGTTACACCTTCTCTCGAGACACTATGAGGGATACAGTTTGTACTAAATAAATAATGTACAGTTTAAATAAACTGTACATTATTTAAACACGATTGAAAAATTATCTTTGCTATATTTACCCTCTACCAAAAAACACGGAGGACTCCACGTTTATTTACCCGGTATAGTTAGAGGGTATTTTAAACACCAGGGTACAAGAGATACAGTTTGTACTAAAGATGTACCACTTAATAATCGGTTAATCCACATTAACCGAATCGTGTGGTTTGTCCAAAATAGTCGTGGTCCCACATCCTTTAATTTGGACAAACCACAATCTATAACCGTTATCTCATTTGGCATGCATTTAATTTTCAACCCTGGAGCATTGAGGCTTTTGACGGTTGGTGAAGGGCGGAAATTAGAAAAAGAAACCAGAGAGGGGAGTTTAGGGACGGCTAGGGTTTGGAGGGGAGTAAGGTAGCAACGGGTAAAAGAAAAAGAGAAGAAAAAGATATAGAGCGGCTGAGGGAGATAACGGCGGGGATAGCTGAGAAAAATCAGAAGGAAGGAAGACTTTGAGAGAGAAAGCGAGAGGGAAAGGCCGAGGGTCTGGGGAACTGAGAAAAGAAAGCCGGAACAGCCGTGGGAAAGAGAGGAACTGATAGATTCGAGAGAGACCAAGGTAGAGTTGTCCATCAGAATCGACAGTGATCTCTTTGCCAAATCCAGACTGAAGGCTCAAGTCCAAAGGCATTGAACAGGTAGTCCTCGATCTTTCTCCTCTCCATTTCCATTCCATATGAGATCTGGTCTGTGTAACCAGAGATTTTGGATTTGTGCTCAGTTGTGGTTCTTGCATCTAGACCATGCTATTTGCGTTCCTTCCAAAATAGTTAAAGTTGCATTTGTTTTAGTTAAAACTAAACTTCATCTAGTTGTTGCTGTTTCCTTTCTTTTCCTTACTCCTGTGGTTTTTACTCTCTCCTGTCTCGCATGTTTTGTCATGAGATTTTGGTTTATTCAAGTTGAAGGTAGTTGATGTTTTTTTTAAGAGGGTTGGTATATATATGTTTTGTTTTTTTTTTCTGAAATCGCAGGCTGTAGCCCCTTTCCTTTCCATCGTTTTGTTGAGCAATAAATTTGCATAATGAATAACTGAAAGGTGTAGAAACTTTGCAGCAGAAAAATTCCAACAAGAAGTCTTGACTGAGCTTAATCCGGAATAAATCTTGAATGGGCTTTTTGTTTGTTATGTTTTACAGCTCCTTTTTCGTTTGCATGATTGAAGTTCTGTCTCAAATTTTCCCGAGCTATGTGGGTTGTTAAATGGGTTCAGTTACAAAATGTTTCCTCACGGTTTTCCTACCCTTTATGTTCGGTTTCTTTGAGTAGATCTTTTGGGGAATAAATGATTGTCTTGCAGTTAACCACAGGAGTAGGAAGCTATAATATTGGGGGTTCGGTGGATAAATCAATAAGTTTCATTTCTAGCATTTTGCATGATCATATTTCTGTCTTCATGAGAAAGCTGCAGAAGTTTTGTTCTTCAAAGTTAGCATGCTTTCCAGATCATTTTGTTGCATTTTTTAGTTCAGAATCCTGTTTGATCTTTCCCCTACCTTTGTTTCAAGTCTTTGCATTTTGTGTTTGATGAGTGAAGATGTGTTGAGTCATTTGCATGAATGTTATCTCGATTGAGTGAGTAAAAATTGCAAAACATTTTTTCGGTTGCAAAAGCTCATTCTTTGCATGAAACTTGCTTGAAATTCTTCTAAGATTTGCCTTGTTAAGAAGTATTTGGACTTGCTTTCATTAGAGTTAGTGCAAAGTTTTGGATGGCCGAAGGTTATGGATAAAGTTTGCGGCTGGAAATTGTAACTTTTGGTTGCAGAAAGTTTTCATCAGAAATGTTCTGTTACAGAATGTTTCCGTAGCCTTTTGCATGGTTTTTGCATGGGAAATATTCCCAAAAAATTGCGCTTTGGCCCCTAAGTCTCCCTTTGTTTCACTATGGCCCAGAAAGTTTAAAAAATCGATCAATTTGGTCCCTTTCGATGTTAATTTCTTTTGTTATGTTTTAATGTTTTTGGGCAAATTGTTTAGGAATTTTAGGATGGAATTTGAGTATTTTATGATTCTTGATAATTCTTAGTTTTGATTTGGATTTTAGTGATTTTGGTGTTTTGTTGTTTAATCGTAGTAAATAGTTTTTCATTCATTTTGTGAGAATTTTAGTTTTGGATTTGGGATAGGTTTCACCTTAAGTCCTTAATTTTAATTTATTTTCCTTTTAAACCCTTGATATTTGTAGTAATAATAAGTTGATCCCTCGAACTTCTTTAATTCTTTCCAATGGGTCCTTGTTTGTGTCAAATTGACGAATGTGAGTTATTTAGTTTATTTGAATGTTTTGAGTGATTCAATTTCGTGTTTATTTCCATTTCATGTGATTATTTTGTTAATTAAAGTGATGTCTTGACCTTTTCCTTGTCTTTTGGAGGGTAAATAAGTCATTTCACTTCATTAGGGTTTCAAATCAAGGGAGGTACACCCTTTCCCTCATTTCTTACTTTATTTGACTCTAAGTGCCTTATGTGACTTTATATGCTTAATTGCTTGCCTTTTGAATTATTTATTTATTTATTTATTTATTCACTTTATTTATTTTTAATTTTGCATACTTATTTTAGTTCAATTTTGGTTATTTGAAAGGCACTTGAATGCCAAAGTTGTAATAGTTAGGTATTTATTTTAATTATTTATTTTTGTTCCCCCTTTAGATTGTAGTAGGCATCCCCTTTTGTAATAGATAGTGCTTGTGTGCTATGTGTTTGTGTGTGCTTATGTGTTCAATGGTTTTCCCTAGGATTCTGCATCTAGACAAGCATGCTTATGTGTTACGTGCTATGTGAAATTATGTGTTTGGCATGCCTATTTGCTTTTAGTATTATATCTGACTATGTGGATGGAATGTACGTTACCGTGGCTAGTCCAATGCTAGTCATGGTCTTCCCTTCGAGCTCTTACAAGTCCAATGCTTGTGAGAGAACGTGAGTTAAGGGCTAGTCCAACGCTAGACCCTTAAGAACCATCCGCACGTTAGATCATAATTGTGTGATAAAATCACTTCATCTCATGCATATTTTCGCTTTTTAGGGTCTTTATCATTTTTTCCATGACATCCCTCTTTATCATACAAATCCTTTTCCTGAACACAAGGACACCTTTGAGACATCCACCGCCAACGAGGAAATTTAAAAATCTTGAAAGAACTTTGCACAATTGGATTGCCGAGTATCTTTCCTCTTGAAGGGAAGTTCGATAAATTTGGGGATTGTCATTTGTTAAAATTCATGAAAATCAGCACTATTTGCTTTTGTGTAAATAGTTTTATTATGTTCAATCAAGTTTTGGCTAAAACAATTTTTGCATTATCAAATTCCTATGTTGTTTTTGAATTTTGCAATAGCATGTATAGTCACATCTTTTCATTACTTTGGTTGATACCATTTTGTTTATATTGATTGTTTATTGGTTTTAATTTCGCTCTAAGCTCTTTTAGATGGCCAAAAATAAAAGTATTTGACCTTTGGCTATCACTGTTCTGGAATCCGATGATGGCAATCTTGACATCACTCACGACTTTGAGATTATGGAATCCGAAATTCAAAAGAGAGTGATGATGAGAAAATATCTGGTTCTTTTTTCAAAAGTCCCCGAACAATATGAAGAGAAATCCAAATCGAACCTAGAAGAGACAGAGATTGTTAACAATGGCACCGAGACTGAAGTCAAAGAGATAAAGATCAGTAGACATTTGAATGAAAAGCAGAAAAAGGGAAGTTGTGCCGCCTGCCGAGATTGAAATCCCTACATTGTGTATTCTAATGGAAGCCAAATTGGAAGAAACTAATTGATTAAAGCAACATCATGAACAATTGGCTCTGATTGATAAAAAGTGTCTGAATGCTATATGTCACGGCCGAAGCCACCATAAACACATGGCCCAAAAAAGGTCCACCGGCGATTCTTTGAAAAAGGGACAAAGTGCTAAAGCGAAGTTGCCATTGCAAGATGAAGTCAAAGGCGAATTTGTTCTAAACTGGCAAGGACATTCGTCGTTCAAAAGGGGCTACCGAGCGAAGCACTTGTCCTAGCAGAAATGAATGAACAGGCATTCCCTCAACCTAGCAACTCAAACATGTGTAAGAAGTTCTTTATTTGATTATGCAAATTTCTTTTAGGAAGTCATGTAAGTGACGAAACAAAAGTCAGGCCATCTTCCTTTCCAATTAAAACACTTCATCTCTAGTCATTCCCTTTGAGCTATCAGAACAATAATTTTCGTTTGACAGCCCCTGAGAATTGCATTGAGGCTATCCACCATGGTCATCCTATCTATACAAACTGGTAAATTTGGAGGAGAAAACAAGGTTTTGGGCAAGAGAATTGCAGCATACCGGAGTTTTTCAGGCGTAAAGAAAAATTATGTCCAGCACAGGATGGCTAATATTTAGAAACACGGCGGTCAAGAATAACAAGAAGAAGAGGCATTTTATTCGATGGTCCTAATCTCATTGACTTCCCTGGTAGATTTGCGTCACATACACATGGATCCGGCAAATTTTAGTTACATACTCTTCTTTACCCTATGTACAAGCAACCATCTATCCAGCCCTCAAGCAAACATTTGATACTTTCAGTACTTCATATAAGGTACATTTGAATGAAAATTTTAAGAAAGAATGTCTTCTGCAATATTTACAGACTCCTTAACACATTCGTTGTCCCGCAGTTTACACATATAGCAGGACGGCATTGCAAGCCCAGAAAATACAGACAAAATAAGATAAATAGAGGATTGAAGGATTGGCCAGCGTACCTGTTGTTCAGGGCCAGAGCCACTGAGTCTTTTCTCAGCGTACGAGTATCTTTCATATCTTTCCAAAATCCTCTCCATACTAACAAATGATGAACAAACCGGAAGTGAATGTATGTAATTGTTTTGTTTGCTTCTCCATCTCAAAGGACAAGCAAAGATATGTGTTTCAGGTGAGACGGAGGAAAACTGACATTGATTGCCTGCCTATATATTGCCGTTAGTTTGATGCATGTCAAAGACAAAAAATTGTTGGCAAAGCAAAAGGCAGAATGTAATTTTTACTGGAAGAATATCAAATATTGGTAAAACCATAACACATTGATACAAGATTGTTGATGTTGAATTTTCAACACCAAAAGGCAAACCCAATATGATTAATCTTTGCTCGTGCTGACAATCAATATTAGGAAAGAAGTATAAAAAATATTATTATTATAACATAATTTGATAATGATCGCGAAGGAGGGCTCGTGTTCTATGATTGATGGCACGAACAATCATGGCTGAAATCCCAGTTTTTCTGCAAACTGTGAGGATATGAATTGATAATGCTAATAGAACACGAGTACAATAGCTTCACTAGTCTCACAAGGCACCAGTTTCTACAAATAAGTTGGCTGAAAAGGTGGCATAAATCCTCTGGTTTCTCATATGAAGCTATGTATCATTGACAATAAATGAAAACTAAAACCAGATATGGCTAGCTGGTTATCACTATCCTTACTTAATTGTTGTGAAAAATTAGAGCCAGGCACACTATCCTCAGACTCTAAATAATACATGATTAAAAGTAAAAAGACAGTAATACATGATTAGTCAAAACTCAAAACATTTTAATTAAATAATCATAATCTCCAGATTTAGAGGTTTAACTTGAGGACCACCTCCAACTTGAAGCCATTTGCAGAAAAAATGACATAGTGAAAAAGGGAATTAAGAAAACCAAAAAAAAAAGAAAAAAGAAAGGACTTGTTAAAAAATCAAAGACCAGAATCGAAGCAAAACACTAACAAGGAAATGAAGGTTTGATTTCATATCAGATCAAAATCTTCAATATGAGCCAAAAATTATATTTGATTGAGTGTACCTCACTAATGATGGTTAATTGGTTATACATGATCTTTGTAAGATGATACTAGTTTATGAACCAACCCAAAAAGCATTCATTTCTCGAGAATAGTTGCCAGAAACCTTTTGGTGGTATTACTGCCTAGCATCAGTTCTGTGAGAATGCCATGCAACCTGGAACATTAGAATGATGTCCCTTACAAGTAGAGGTTAAAATTTAATACATCAAATGCCAACATAGTAGTTGAACTATACCAAAAAACTACTCAAGAAATGTTCATCTGTTGTGAAAGTGAGAAGAATTTATAAGCTCTAATAAATACAAGCAAAACAGTTGTATTAGCTTAAGAAACGTAGAATTGTTTTCTCTAAGAATTGTCAAGATAGATATGAACCTTTCCCAATTCCAAGTCATTGACACCTAAAGGCTACTTTTTCAGAGTCGTGGGGAAATACGAATTAGGTTATAACCAGTCCATCCCTTCTTATCCCCTCCCCTGGATATACTCATGAGACAGTAATTTTGTGTTTTTTTTTTTTTTTGATAGGGAACCGGCAGCTGCTACTCGAGAGCACTAATTTTGTGTTCTTTGTCAATTTCATTAAGATGTTGCCAACCTTTTCAGTTTGATATCAGTTAATTAGGACTTGCCAATCATGATCTGGTTCCTTGTGTGTTCAAAAGTACTGTACGCTAAATCTTCTAGTGTTTAAGAACCTAGGTTTTCCAAATTCAGAAGGTTGAAGTGGCAAATGTGGTAACATGTGGTTTAAAACATGTTATCTCAGAGGGATAACATGTGGTGTAACTATTTGGACAGTTATATTGGAGTGGGGCAGTATAACCCGTACTTGTGGAGATAATCGCGTGGACTCCACATTATTTAGTTGGATGATGGTGGTTGATTATACACGTATGGATTCAAAGTTACAACTCAAAAGGAAAGGTTGGATCAAAATACATTTATGATTTTCCAACCATCGAGGAGCTATACAAAAGAATGTTAAAACTAGCTCAACTCGACTTTAAAACATCATAGTCTATGGGTGATTATGCAGGAAGTTAGTTCAAATAAATCTATAACCTCTAATTACCACATTATTTAAATCTAACGATTAAGTGGTACTATAACGTGTAAACATATACCTCATTATTTGGAGTTACACAACTTTAAATAACCACAATTCTACTCATATCCTAATGTTCATCTCACAACATGTGGTGTAACTATCATGCTAATTCTAAACTAGTTCGGTCTCAGTAATTTTCACTGAGACCAGGGTCATTTAATTTTCAGTGTAAATAATGATGTCATTCCGAGTTCATACCGTTCCAAGTAGCATCCTGTTATGAGTCGTTCATAGAGGTGCAGGTCAGAGCTGTTAGATTTTATTGGCCCGAAGTTTGATTACATAACAGAGAGCAAAAGTCAATTTGTAATTTTTCTTTTAAAATACATGCGCATGTCTGTTCTAGCAATTCGATAGTAGTATTCATCCAAAAAAAATAATAATAATAAATTTTCATTGAAGTCTACTACTTTAAACTACTAAAACAATCCCTGGTGCATTGAAGTCTTTCAGACAATGTAATGAATCTTTTTTATTTAAAAAGGAAAATGTCTATCAATACTTTAATCTGTCTTTTAAGTTACAGCTTGAAACAAAAACAGAGAAGATGCACCTCAAAGGAGAGAGCAGGTAAATCCAACAAGACGGAATAAATGAGACACTCAGCAGACATCTGGAATCAATAATTGAGAAAACTGCTCTTCTTCTTTTGTGACGCTGGATGAGTTGCCTTGATTCTGACCCTTTAAGAAAAAAGAATGAATGATAAGGAGGAGGACGAAAGAATCTACGGAAAAGAAAATGTAAAGAGCAATTGAAGGATATGGCCATTTAAAAGGAAGCAGTAGCGTTTTTTATTTCCTTTTTCCTTCCGGGGATTATATATAAGAAAAAAAAAAAAAAAGTACTACTAATAGAATTCTAAACAAACCGAATAAGTAGAGATTAAAACAGAACGTTGGAAATATTAACTACTTACAGTTGCAGTGGGGTTTGTGTCCCTGATGCGAAACCAGTCAAACTTCCTTTGTTCAATCGATATAAACATCGGGAATGCGTACAATCTTGGGCCACTCTGCGCCACTTCCTTTGGTGCATCTCTCTGCTAAAAGAGGACAGCTGGCGATACCTAGAAAATTTAAATTGGTGAGGTGTCGCATTGCTTCTGCAGAGGGCAATTGTCTGAGGTTAGAGCAATTATAAATGGACAATGCTCGAAGATTCCGAAGGCTGCCCATCCACTCTGGAAGAACTTCCAACCCCTCAAACTTCCGAATATTTAAAGTTCTCAAGGTAGAGAGATGCTGAATTTGGTCTGGGAGAGCCGTGATTTTTGGCCATCCACGCAATACAAGACGCTCCAGAGAGACGAGATTGGCGATGGAGTGTGGCCACGGGAAATGATCAAGGTCAAGGATGTCAGAGAAGCCACCGAGTTCCAACTCGCTGAGGTTGGCTAGATGGTGGAGAACCGTAATTGGCCAACAACCAGGGTCATCAGAAATGAACGCCAACCACTTGAGCGACGTGAACTTCTCAAGATTATTACTCAACGAAGAATTCAACTTATCACATCCTGAGATGCTTAGAAAAAGTAGGGATTGGGGGTTTTTCATATCCAGAGAAGCATCTAATAAAGCAGGGCAGTCACTTAGGATTAAGGATTCGAGAGATGTGAGGCTATTCAAATTCCTTATACAGGCCAAACTCCCGCATCCCCTTATCTGTAACTCCACAAGAGACGTCAAGTTCTCCATATCCGGTAGAACAGCCAACTTGGGGAGATCGGAAATTGTCAAGTTCCGGAGATTAGGGAATACCTTAATTGATGAAGAAGAATCCGAGGGAACCATTGCATCTGACCACTCCTCCAGACTTCCCATTTTCTCCAAAACAAAACGCGACAGTTTAGGAAACAGACTGATTGGTTTCGCCTCTCTGCTACTGCTACTACTACAAGAAGCGCTGCTCCTTGCATTAATATCGAGACCATAGAATTCAGCCCCAATGCACTTCACATTATGTAAGGACTCCATCTCTAAGGACTCGAGACAAGGCAAGTCCCCTAGTGGTGGTACTTGTTCACACTTACCCAATCCGGTCAACTTGATCTCTATCAGATTCCGAAGGAGTACCATGAAGTGATCCTTTGCCACCATCCACGACGGAAACCTTGAACCTTTGAAACCGCAAATGCCTAAACTTTTCAAGTTTGGGTGAGGTTGGAGACCTTCCATGACACTATTAATATTGTCGTCATCGCAATCTTCATTTGTATCATCCCATGAAAGTGTTAAACTTTGAATGCTTGATTTTTCGGACAACTTTGCTTTTGCTGCTGATTCACAGCTGCTCACATTTTCAAGTCCAAATATTTTTAGCTCGCCTTGGAGGTTGCGCAAGTATTCCAACTCCTCAAGTTGACATCCCTTGTCTTGGCTTACCCTGAAGTGGGGCAACGTCCGAAGATTAGCCAGCTGCCCGATTCCAGGGAACAAACATCTGGACCCATCCAAACTATCCTCGAAAAACTCGAAGTGCCTCAAGTTAATTAAATTGCCAAACTTCTTAGGTATCTCTTTCAAGGAAAAGACTTTCAAGGTCATCAAATTGTAGAGCTTTGTGATCGAATCTGGCAAAGCGGTGATACCAGTTCGCCTGATATCAAGATGTCTTAAATGTTTCATATTACCCACTGAATTCGGGAGATGAGTAACATCCCCGCACTTTAATATTAACACACAAAGATATCTAGACCTTTTCAAGATGTCTTCGAGCATAATACCATCACCCTCAAGATAATAAAGCGTTTGCAAATTTGGAGGAATCCCTTCGATATTCTTTAACACCTTCCCTTGACTCCCAATGATGGTCAAATGCATAACTTCATCATGATGACTGACTTCCATGTCATCCTCTGTATTTAAGAAACGATTATTTGACACATGCAGTGAAAGATCATGCACAAGGTCGTGCATCCGGCATAACTCGATTCCGTACTCAGGAGCAGCTTGCAACAAAGAACTCCGAAGCAATACGTTGAAATACTCACTGCCTATATCCTCCATTTGCAAATGACCTCCTCCTCCCTTGGCATCAGTAATCAATCCCTGGGCCATCCAAATCTGTATCAAGCTTTGTTTTTCCATGTAAGCGTCCTTCGGGAAGATGGAACAATTTGCAAGGCAGTGCTTCACTGACAATGAAGGTAAGTTCTCATAACTCAGCTTCAGGACAGAAATGACTCCATTCGCAATATTGGTCGACTCGTTCCATATTTCACTCTTCTCGATCGTCAACCATTCCGAGGCATCCTTTTTGGAATACAACAAACCCCCAATCACTTTGATCGCTAATGGCACGCCGCCACACTTTTTCAGTATCCTTCTACCAATGTCCAGTAGATCTTGAGTCTTTCTTGCACCACCGTCTGCAAATGCTAGTTTTTCGAACAACATCCAGCTATGATCATCTGAGAGGATGTCTAGATGATGCATACCAGATGTTTGCATTGCTGAGGCTACCTCATCACTACGTGTGGTAGCCAATATTTTACTTCCTGGAGCACCTCCTATTTCGAGCAAACAGCTCCTCATGCCATCCCATTTCTCTCGATTCTCATTCCAAACATCATCAAGCACAAGCAAGTAACTTTTACCTTTCAGATTTCCTTGAAACTTCCTCACCAATGCTTCCTTGTTTGTCGTCTCAGCACTTTTTCCCTCGAGGGATTGTAGCATCTCATTCAACAGCTTTTCCACTCTGAAATCGTCAGACACACAAACCCATATTGTTTTATCAAAATGCTTCATTACACTCTCATTTTTTACCACCATCTGTGCAAGGGTTGTTTTACCCTGGCCGCCCATCCCAACTATTGAGATGACAGGTAAATCCTTCTTATAGTCTGAGCTAATTAACATGCTTACAACTTGAGATACCTCAACTTCCCTTCCCACCGTTCCTGACTCCCGCACAAAAGGAACGGTCGACCGATCCACAAAAGGAACAATCGACCGATTCCCTTTGTGATCAGCAGATGTCATGGTTAGCTGAACCGGACCAAGCATCTCATTTGCTTCTTTGTGAGCTTCCTCCAGAGATGCCATAACTTTCTTGATCTTGTTAGCCATCTCTAGACGAAAGGAAATAGGATTTGAGGAAGAAAAGAAGTTGAGTACCTGGTCGCGCTTCCGATTCTCAACCTTGTGCCGCAGAACTTCATATCCGAAGTCATCCAACACGATCTCAGCATCACGTGCTATGGACTGGAGCCTTTTGAGCCAGAGCTGGGCGGCTTTGCTTGTTGATTGCTTGCATTTAGCATCAAAAATCAAAGCTTCCATCATCTCTATTTTCTTGGCAAGCTTCTGAAGGTCTTTCTTTACACCCCATGCCCGGCTGATCTCGTCGGCAGCAAGTGGAAGTATCTTATCCAAGATCACACTAAGTACAGCTTCAGCCATCGTCTGTGAAACTCTTTAACAGATGAAGGTAAAATGCGTTGTTTGAAGTTGAATAGTTGAACTGTATTTTTTTTGCAGGCAGAGATGGTCAACATTCAACAGCTAGCGTTACAATGCAGGGAATCCATTACTTATCTTCCATTCATATCTTTCCAAAACGAAATTTCCTACCAAGTTGGAAAACTAACAAAAAAGTACTGCATCAAGAAAAGAAAAGACTTGAGATAATTCAGGACCACACGGCTTGTGGGTACCATTGAAATAATTGAATCTGTAGACGTTAGTTGAGGTAGGACCAAACCAACTTTTTGCTTTCGGGGCAACTTTTTGTATTTGGGTAAAGTTGCTACACTTGTAATGCATTTTCAATCATCTTTGAACATGTGCCAAAACTTATCTGTGCATATGCTTACATTACATTACCCTAAGAAATAAAAAAAGAAGCTTTGTTTGTTTCTTGAACGAAGCAATGTAGCAGCATGTATCTTCCATTGATCCCTGGTCTCCGGTGAAAGAATCACCATTATCTTCTGGCCGTATTTTTTTTTTTTTCGTTGGCTTTTGGTCGGATCTTCACATGTTAAAGCAAAAATTGTACTTATGATAACAATTTAATTAGAATAGTATAAAAGTCTCGGATGCAAATGTGTTAACTTAAAGAAGGGATGAGAAAAAGATTCCTCGAGAAAGGGTGTGAAAACTTTGCCGAACATTGAAATTTCAACCTCTAGGGATGTCACTACAGAATTTACCGCATCCTGGTTCTGGGCTCCAGTTACCAGACAAGATAATGCAATCTATGCAAATGCCTAACAATTCATCCAAATCGTGGTCTCCACCAGCACATGTTCATAAAGAAAGTACTGACTCACGGCACCACCCATGAACGTGGAGGGCCTGGGAATCAAATTATTCCCATCTAATTAATCATTATTAATTTTATCCTAATGTTATCCATTTTTCACCGCTCAAATGTTCCATGCAAATCAAATATTCTCAAAAAAAATTGATCTAGAGATCAAAAGAAAAATAATGACACAATTACATAATTTTATAGCATTACATAAATTTATATATGAATAAATGGAGAGACCAATGGAGAGAAATCTAACAAAGAGGATCCTAACCCGGGAGGGCACTAACGCTAGTCATGGATCCAATTTTTGGGTCATATGACTTAGTTGCAAGTTTGAAGGAGCATCTGACAACAGCTTTTTCTTCTCATAGTAGTAGTTTTCGCCCTTTTCAGCACACTTTGCACAACCACCTTTTAACATAATTGCAATAGTTTTCATTCTCAGATGAACAAAATTTGGAATCATCATCAAAATACACTATAACTAAAGGCCCTAATTATTGTACAATGTAGGGCTTTTCAACACTGCCCCCAGACATCCATACAAAACAATGGGTGTAGCCCAGCAATAACAAGATACAGCTAAATGATTTTCACTATCAACAATTAATGTTAAATAATACCTATCGAACAATTGGGTTAAGTGGATCTACACACTGCAAAAGTCATACTAGAATGTCGATAATTAACCAATTCCAAGAATCAGGATTACCAGACAACCAAATGGTTGTCGAACTACTCATTAGCAACCTTCTTCCAGGCGCCCCCTTGATGAAAGAATTGAGAGTAGTGTTAGCAGGCGAATCGAGCTAACTTTGAGGGAAATATTTGACTGGTACCTTTGATAGCTACTATGTCCAAATAGTTATAACCGTTATCTCCACATGTGGTTATTTGTTATGACGATTCTAGTGCTAAATAAGTACTCGATTAAGTGGTACTAAATAAATAAACATATGGGGTTTATTTATGAAAGGTACTATAAATAAATCTACCTTATCAAAAGAATTTTTGATAACCCTCAAGAATTTTAGTTGGAGTTAAATACCCTCCAAACCCCACGGTTATAGATTTAAATAAACTTTGAGTAGATTGTGGTTAATTAAATACAGTTTCATATTGTGGGCCAGTTAACTGTTCCACATCGACTCATAGCAAGTGAGATAGTTCGAATAAATACATAAGCACCCAAGCATGCAAGCACATAAGAAAATAAACGCATATAAAGACCTAACTATTACATTTTGGGGCCCTAACTACAATTTAAAGGGGAATTTAAAAAAGGAAGAATTGTAATTTTGGTCCCTAATCTATAGACCATGTGCAGAACTAGTCCCTAATCAATTGTGCAAATCAATTTTGGTCCCCAATCTATTCAATTTTGCGCGAAAGTGGAGAATTGATGAAATTTCTTCAATTTTAGTTAGAACCAAGTCATGTGAGACCATGTGTCGGCACTTAAAACCCCTTTTTCAACTTTTTAATTTTTGAAACACATATTTAAATATTTTCAGCTTTTCTTGTCTTTTTTTTTTATTAAACAAAGACATAAAAGGCTAAAATTCGCTAATCAAGCAGTTAGTAATGATTAGTGGAAAAAATCACAAAATAAATAGGGGTATCGATGTCCTCTATTTCTTTCTTTCCTCATGTTCTCTTGTCCAACTCAAGAACATACCATAGGAGCCTCAATCACTTTCTAATCAGAGAACAAAAATTGCAGATTTTGGCATAAATTTGCAAGAATTAGGCAGAACTTTGTTCTTCTATTCTCAATTTAGGTCCTCATGGAACCAATGAAAAATTGTGATTGCAAGCAGCGAGCAATAATGGTTACATCCTGGATAGACAACAATTCTAGGAGAAGATATTTCACTTGTGCCATCAAGAAGGAATGGTTCTCTGTTTTTTATTTTAGTTGATGAATTTGACCTTTGCGCTAAAGCTTTATGATGTTAGTTGTGAAGGGTGACGGAGGAAAAGGTTGCAATTATTTTGAATGGCATGATTTAAAAATATGTAGAAGATCTACTGCTCTAATTCCTAAATTGTTGCAAAGCCTGAACTCTAAGAATGCTATAATTGAGTGACTAACTTCGTGGGAAAGCAAATTATTGTCGGCAATTTTCTTGTTGGTAATACATTTAAATAAATGTATTACCCTCAACTATAAGATGTTGAGGGTAATCAATGCACATTGAATTAGCACATTTAAACTTTTAGTTGATTTCAAATAGTACCAATGGGAAGAATTCCTTAGCCACTCACCTTGTAAACTAAAAAAAAGAAGCAACTTAGCACCTCCTCTTTCCAACCCACTCCACCAACTTCTTCTATACTACCTAACAAAGGATTTTTATGGAGAGTTTTCAAAGTTTGGTGGCTGATTCACAAGATTTGGGCAAGAAATGGATGAAATAGTTGGAGTACTCTCTTCTTTTCTTTCCTTAGATGGTTCGGCCAAGAGGATGAAGAAAGTGATGATTTTTGGGTCAATTTTTGTTATTTATTAAAATTGGGTAAGATGGTCAAAGTCCAAGATGGAATCACAAAATGACACTTGTCACCTTTTTGGTTTAAAGCTATCCTTTTGTCTCTCCAACATTAATCCATTTAGGTAACCTCTAATTACCACTTAATAAATATGTGGTGTAGGGCATTTATTTACCAACAAATTGTTGGTGTAGGGAATTCTTTACTAAACCTTTTTGCAGCTCAAAGTGGTGTCCAAGAGTGGATCTAAGTGTGTATGAAATTTGGTAGGATTTGGATGAAGATTGGTGAGGTTTTTGTGAGAAGAAATTTTAAAATTTGGAGGATGAGAGAGAGAGAGAGATGGCCGGCTGTCTTTGGAATGAGAATCTAATTGTTTTGAACTTCATTGTTTGTGAAGTTCAAAACAATGATTTGCACGTGCTAACATTATTTAGAATGCTAAATTCAAAACCCATTAATAAAAACCCATACAACCACAATTACTCCTGGACAGTTAAATGGGGCGTTAATATCATGGGACATTTGCCCCAAGAATCGAGGCAAACGCCTGGAAGTTTGGGTGGGTTTTTTTTTTTTTAGACGTAAAAAATATATACATTTAAAATCCCAGCACTTTTTCCCTTTTTTTAAAGTTCCAGGGAAACATCCAAACTGGATTTTCCCTTCACTTGCCTAAAGAAAGTTGAGACCCTCAAATTGAACTTGCAATTTCTGAAAACTTTTCTTATATTAGCCTACAAATTTAAGTTGGCAAACATGGATGTTAGTTTGGAATTTAATGATGCAAAGAAGGTGAAATTTCAAAACTTTGTTCCTCACATTGAGGATATTCTAAAGCAATGGGAAAAAGACACTTGCTTTGATAGTCAAAACTCACACGCACGACTGCCGTGGGGTTTTGTGCCCAAGGCCACGGGTAAACCTCTGTAGCCATGCTGGAAAAACGCACGACAGTGCCCCTCATGGCTAGCACGTTCTGCAACTTCACGTGCACACTTGAGCCCCTCTTAAATGAGATGAGATAATAGATTGATAGTCTTTAATTTCTAATTGAAATGACTATATGGTCCCATCCCATTTTTAAATTCTGAAGATAATAGAGTGCATTTGTAGTCTATCAGTAACTTCTATTTCCCCTTTTCTCCCCATTCAAATTTAAATTTTGCATAATTATCGTTCATCAAAACTAATAGTATATATAAACTGTCAGTGCAAGAAAGATTAATTCTAACTCAATATATTCTGGTGTCCACAGCATGATTCCCATGACCATAAACCAAACTCCTTGGAAAAAGATGATAAGAGACCTTATGAAATTTTGCGAGAAACTCTTGGGGTAAACTATGCATAAGAGGGTAGTGAGAAATGAGACAAGTCTGACAATTTGAAGAAGCCAGTGATATTGGCCTTCCAGACCAATGTGATCAGCAGGGTGGAGATTAAATAGGAGAAACTGCTGGCCAAAGGAAACGGCTCCAAGCATTTGCGAAAGGCCATATTGAGCTGGAGGCTGAATTTTGCTAGGATAATGCAGAGAAGTGCATACATAAAGAAAGTCAAGGATATATTTGAGTGCTCAAAGCTGTGAAGATGGTTTGATGGAATAGTGCCATCCGGGTCCAACGGTTGGTGCCTTTTTGGACCAATGAAGAGATCCATGGATATTGAGGCAATGCAGCCTCCCATGATGAAGAAAAGTTCCAAGTACCTGATTTTTGAAGTTGGAAACCATGGCGAAGGTGTGTAGGATTTTGGATGGAGACAGTGAAGTCACATGGTTAAGTAAATTCCAGAGCCCAACTAGAAAGAAGCCGAATCCATGTCCACATGTCCCACCAATTTGCCCATCTTGTTATCCCGCTTTGGTTTGCCTTGCTATTTGTGCTGCTTGGTTGATAGCTTGCTTGGTTTGTGTGTTTTGTCCTACCAGAAAAGGAAATATGGAGGGTATAGGAGATGAAGAAAAGAATGGATCTCTACAAGTTAGAGAGGAAAAAATAATGTGAAGGCAAGGATAGGATAGTTGGGATGGTTTATAAAGAAGGGGATGGAGTAGGTGAACAAGTAATATGTGCGATCGTATGGAATTATTATATTTTTTATAAGATTTGATGTATACTTA